TTCACCAAAAACACGATTTTTTTTTTTTTTAAAAGACACAAATGACATGATCTAACAGTGCATGGTATAACACTTAACTCACATAGAGAAAAGACAGAGCAAGACCAGTTTTACTTGAGGACACTGATCTCCCATGGCCAGCAAGTCCCCTGTTATGGCTGGTACAGGGCAAATGCTGCAGGCAACACAACTCTTGTGCCACAGATGAGGGAGACCCCAATCCCTCCCCACCAAGAAGATATAGAAGCAGGGTTGGTCAGGTGCCGTATGGTGTCCGTACAGGAGGAAGAGACAGAGAAAGTTAATGTGTGCCCAGAACAGGCAAGCTTCTTTGACGAGAAGGGACTGGGAGACAGACAGAGACTCAATTCTCAGTATCCTTATCAGAGAAGGTTCTGGGCTCAAGGCCTCTGCTTAGGCGGACCAGATAGGAAAAACAGAAGCAGACAGTCCACTCAACTATTGAAAAAGAGTGCCCAGTTGAGCTGGGAAACATACATACAAACAATAATGGTATAGCAGGATGAATATCCAAGGGAAATACAGACACAGGACTATAGCCACTCAGCCTGGGCTATCAGACAGACTTCAGAGGAGGCAAGACAACATGGATAGATTGAGAACAGCCACTCTGGAGGGCAATTTGGCAGCATCCATTAAAAACTAAAGCTGTGTTGTTGGTGAGTGCCAATGAGTCAATTCCGACTCATCGCAACCCCATGTGATGGAGTAGACTGCCCTATAGGGTTTTCTTGGCTGTAATCTTTATAGGGAGCCCCGGTGGCCCGGTAGTTAAGAGCTTGGCTGCTAACCAAAAGGTCAGCAGTTCAAATCTATCAGCCAGTCCTTGGAAACCGCATAGGGCAGTTCTACTCTGTCTTATAGGGTTACTATGAGTTAGAATCGACTCGACAGCAACAGGTTTGGTTCTTTTGGATTTTTTAATCTTTACGGAAGCAGACTGCCAGGTCTTTCTTCCACACAGCTGCTGGATGGGTTCAAACTGCCACCCTTTTGGTTAGCAGCCAAGCTCAGGCTCTATACTAGAGAGACATTAGATATCTAAAAGGATGTTCACTGCAGTTTTGCTTGCAAAAACTGGGAACAACCTAAACATCCATTAATAGTAGGGGAAGGAATAAATGAATCATGATATTTCTACTAGAAAGCAAAAGCTTCTGGGGCAGTTAGGAAGAAAAAGGGCGTGGAGAGTTCAGGACATTAACAGTTCAGGGATGGCGGACAGCGTGCAAGGGGTGACCGTGGATGGAAGGGCCTGCTCTGGCCCCTGCTTCCTTGGAGAGTCGCCGGGCAGCTGCACAGGGGAGGGAAGGGAGAGTGAGGCAGGGGGCAGGGCGACCAGAAGCTCTCAGTGAGGCAATCTGGCTGGGAACCCAAAGGACAGGACCCACACATCTCCTCCTCTCCAGAGTTCTAAGAGGGAAAGGAAAGCAGGTGAGAGGGTATGTGGGAAGAACAAGTATACAGGTTTTATGAGTGAATTGAGAGTTTAAAGAGTTCTTTTCCTTTGCCAGGGATTCCAAACCTCTTCAAAGTTCAAACTTACTGTCCTCCCTCTCAGAGGACCCTATGTTATTGAAAAAAATGGAGGATATCTGGGAAAAGTTAGGAGCTCGGGTGGTGCAGGAGTTAAGCACTCAGCTACTAACCAAAAGTTTAGTGGTTTGAACCAACCAGCTGCTCCATAGGAGAAAGATGTGGCAGTCTGCTTCCACAAAAACTATAGCCTAAGAAACCCTATGGGGCAGTTCTACTCTGCCCTGTAGGGTCACTATGAGTCAAAATCGACTTGACAGCAATGGGTTTGAGAAAAGCTAACTCATGTCTCCCTTTGAACCCATTCTCTTTGGACCTGTGGCCTATCTTCTTCCTCTTTTCTTTAACATTCTTTACCCATTTTACAGATGAGGACTATGAGGCTCAGAGAAGTAACATCACTTGCCTGAGGTCTCACAGCTAGCAGAGGACAGAGCTAAGACTTGAACCCAAGTCTTTCTGATTGCAGGACCTTCATCTTTGCCCCCTCAACATACTCCCACTTATTTTCTTCGCATTTGATTTTTTTTTTCCTCCTCTCTTTCTCTATCAGTTTTTCTCACTCTCATTTCAAGCAGAAACAAGCCTCCCTTGGGCTCCACAGTTCCTTTGGCTGCTAATTTCTTTAGCCTTCATGGCCAAAGTATATCTCAAAACATTCTCACTGCACATTCACTTCTTTCCCCAATTACAGGTTAAGAACATAAGTTTAAAGTCTAAAAGTCCTAGGTTCTACCAACTTCTGACTGCAAGATTGTAGACAAGTTACTTAATTTCTCTCTAAGCCTCAGTTTGCTCTTCAGTAAAACAGAGCTAAGAATAATAATTCTCACTCATAAGACTACTGTGAGGTTTAATAAAAGGGTTCCAATACCCTACCCAACAACTGCAAAATACCCATTCTTCTCAAATGCACATGGAACACTTTCAAAAAAACTTTCCACAAAGACAATCCCAGGTCCACATGGCTTCACCGTAAATTCTGCCAAACATTTAAAGACAAAATAATAGCAATTCTTCACAAACTCTTTCAAAAAATACAGGAGGCGGAAATCTCTCCCAACACATTCTATGAAGCAGTATTACCCTGATACCAAACCCAGGCAGAGACATCGTAAGAAAACTACAGACCAATATTTCTTATGAATATATATGCAAAAATCAACAAAGTACTAGTAAACCAAATCCAGCAACATAAAAACGATTATACATGACCAAATGGGATTTATCTCAGGAAAGCAAGGTTACTTGAACATCTGAATATCAACTGATGCAATACACAGTAACAGCAGAACGTTGTTGTTACGTGCCTTCGAGCTGGTTCGTAACAACCCTATATAAAGGATAAAAACCACATGATTCTCTCAATAGACACACACAAAACAGCATTTGACAAAATCCAACACCTCTTCATGATAAAATAATACTCACATAACTAGGAATAGGATGGATCTTCCCCAACCTGATAAACGACATCTACCAAAAAAACCATAGCTAACATCATACTTAATGGTGAAAGACTGAAAGCATTCCCTGTAAGATCAGGAATAAGACAAAAATGTCCACTCTCCCTATTTCTATACAACATTGTTCTAGAAGTTTTATCCAGGGCAATTTGGCAAGAAAAAGAAATAGAAAGCATCCAGACTGGAAAGAAAGATGACATAATCTTGTATACAGAAAATCTTAATGAATCTACAATAAAACTGTTAGAGCTAATAATTGAGTTCAGTAAGATTGCAGGATATAAAATCAATATACAAAAATCTATTATATTTCTATATGCTAACAATAAGTAATCAAAAAATGAAATCAACAATTTCATTTACAATAGCAACAAAGAATAAAGTACTTAGGAATAAATTTAACAAAAATTTCTAACAAAAGAAGTATAAAACTTATACACTGAAAACTATAAAACATCAATGAAAAAAATTAAAGAAGACATAAATAAATGGAAAGGCATCCCATGTTCATGGATTGGAAGATTTAATAATGTTAAGATGACAATACTCCTCAAACTGACCTAATGATCCAAGGTAGTTGCTGTCAAAATCCCAGCTGGTTTATTTGCAGAAATTGACAAGCTGATCCTAAAATTTGTATGGAAATAGAAGTAATCCAGAATAGTCAAAACAATCTGAACAGGAAGAACAAACTAGGATTGGGACTCACACTTCTTGATTTCAAAATTTATTACAAAGATACAATAATCAGGACTGAGTAGTGCTCACATAAGGATAGACATATAGATCAATGGAATCTAATAAGGAGTCAAACATTTATAGTCAATTGATTTTCAACTATGTGCCAAGACAATTCAATGAGAAAAGAATAGTCTTTCAATAAATGGTGCTAAGACAAGTGGATATCCACATGCAAGTAATGGAGTTGGATCCCCCACTTCACACTATATACAAAAATCAACTCTACATAGATCAAAGATCCAGCTGTAAAACTAAAACTATAGAACTCTTAAAAGAAAACATAGGTATAAATCAATAGCATAACAATAATACTTCTATTTATTGAGCATCTACTTTATGGTGGTCATTCTATCAGGCTCTTTACATGTTCTCACTTTTAAAGATGTGGCATCCCACTTCACCTCTTCCCATCATTTTCCTGTTTCATACTCACCATACATAAGCCCTAAGCCTATCTTAAAAATATGGCTTAAATGGTTAAAAAAAAACTTCAGATGTTTAGTTCTAAGTATAAAGTGGTATAAGGACCTAGCTAACATATGGACTGTGTATTTGTTACTATTGTTTCAATTCATCAAAGTTGGACATTAAATTAAATGGAAGGGCTAATGGCAAGGTACAAAATGATACGTTAGTCATTCATTTCTTTATTATTTTCTATTCCATTAACTTCAAATTCAAATATTTTTTAAACAGAGGTCATTTTAATCTGAGAGGAAAGAAAAAAGCTATTTGAAATGTACACCTAGCAAAGCCTGACTATTGGAACCACGAGCTGTCAGAGAGGATGAACATATTTAAATTGCAAGGTTGGCTGTTTTGAAGCAAAAATCAGTAATAGGTAACCAACAAATAGTCTTCCCTCTAGTCTAAAACTACAAAATTGATGCTCTGAAATCACCAAAAACCACCAAGAGGTTATTAACTGGCAAAGCTTCTGAGATTCAATGAGAAATGTTTGCAAGTTTGCGTGAAGCTGCAGTTTTCCACAGCTGTGTTCAGAACCTCAGCCTGATAGCACAGCACATATGCCCAATAAATATTTGCTTAAAGAATAAATGAAGGGAATCCAAAAGGGGTTAAGAGCAGTGTACTACCCTACATTGCTTCCTTGGTTTCATCTTCCATCACCGTCAAACTCCAGAATCACTCCAGGAGGGTCTCGAGCTTTCTGCTACAACTTACTATAATTGTTTTTCTGAATGAAACATTGCAACATATAACAAAAGGGCTTACCAAGATTGGAGAATCCATCCTGAAGGGCCCATAATCGAGCCCAAGGGGCAGGGGTGGGCTCCTCCAGTTCTTGGTCCTCGGGAATAGAGTAGAGTTCCTGAGTGGACACTGTGTCTATAGAGCTCAGCGTCCCAGAGCTGGAGTGAGAGGACTGGCTGGACGTGGGTACTGTGCCAGAGGAGGAGCTGGACATGCTCTGGGACTGCGAGGAGCCGTGGGGCTGGGAGGAGAGTCCATGGGACTGCAAGAAGCCGCTGTGGGACTGCCAGGAGGAGGTGGTGGGCTGAGAAGAGGTGGTGCCCTGGGACTGTGAGGAGACGCTGCCTTGCGACTGCTGACATTCCATATCCACCTCTCGAGACATCACGACCTCAAAAAGTAAGTGTTCACCAATAAGATAAGTTTCAAGGAACAAGATTTAAACTTCAAGACTGAAGGGCGGGCGAATTACAGTGGTTTAAGGAGGCACACGTGCTCTGCAAAAATTAAAATTCTGTGTCTGCCTTGAGCACTGTGCTTTTAAGATCTGTCTATATGGGATCTGGAAACCCTGGTGGCTTAGTAGCTAAGAGCTATAGCTGCTAACCAAAAGATCGGCAGTTTGAATCCACCAGGTGCCCCATGGAAACCCTATGAGGCAGTGCTACTCTGTCCTATAGGGTCGCTATGAGTCTGAATTGACTCAGGGGCAATGGGTTTGGTTTTTTGGTTATATGGGATCAAATAGACAATAGCAACTCGAGAGGTTAGGTAGGAAAACTCAGGGGACAGTAAGTTTGTTAATGGGGGAGGAACAACTCAGAAAAGGAGAGTGAGAATGGTTGCACAAGTCAAAGAAAGTAATCAACGTCACTGATTTGTATATGAAGACGCTGTTGAATTGATGTATCTTCTACTGTGTATATTCTCAACAACAATAACAAAAATAAAATAAATTATTTTTAAAAATTAAAATGCTAACAATCTAGATGAATAGTTTTTTGGGGGGTGAAGATCACTTTAAATGGATTTTTTTTTTTTCTGAGAGCCACAAACCACAGGGAAAAAACAAAAAAGGATTTGAAGGCTATAAATAAAAGCAATGTAATTGAGTTGGGGGAATGGGGTGAAAGACTCATAAAAGCTTACATTCATCCAATTTTTAAAAATTAGGAATGAAACCTAAAACATATTCATTAATACAATCAACACTACACTTAAATTTCACATATATCTTGAGAAGGAAAGTAGAAGTGAAAACTGCCAGGTAGTTCAGGGGAGAAGTTGAGCAAAGAGAAACTGTACAATGGCATGGGTTTCCATTTACATAAAACACATCAGATGTCTCTCCCTCACCCTGTCGCAGGCCTATTCCAGATTTCTTGGCACCTAACTAGGGTCAGGCCACTTAAAGAGACAGCACAGATAAGACTGCTCTAAACAACTCCACTCAGCTCTTCTGATGCTAAGTAATTATGGGCTCATCTTTTCAGCTTCCCAAAAGGTCTTCCATTCTGGACAGAATTCTGAACCATTCTTTGAGTCACAGGTACCATAATAGAGGCTCCCTCCCTTGCTTTAGAATTAACTTGATGGGCAGTTATACTCAGATAAAAGAACCTCCTGTAAAATCTAAGTAACTTGCAATGCTGATCTAATTCGATTTTTTTTAATGGATGTATTCCTTTCCCCATGTTCAGGTTAATCCTTCAAGAGAATGTCATAAACAATATTACTACATTTACGTAGCTTTCAAGATACAAAGGTTCTGATGAGCTTTCCTTAAAACACACCAGGAAGGTGATGCCAGAGCTGGTCTAAAACTGCCTCAGCCAGGTTGGGTCCTTCTGTAGTTTTCTGTGCAAGACTTCTTCGCCTGCATCTAGTCCCCGCCCTGATAACTGAAGAAAGAAAGAGGGTGTCAAGAGGTGGCAGCCATCATTGCTTAGGACAAGGGTCCACCCACACAGACAGGAATAAAGAGCTGGGACCACCGTGGCCTCAGCAACAGGGAGAAGTTATGGTGGAGTGGTTAGAGGTATAGAGGCTTGGAGTCAGAGGCCTAAGTCAAATCTTTGCATGATACTGGGCAGGTCCCAATCTCTCTGAGTCTCAGTTTACTCATATGAAAAAAGCAGATAAACAGCAAGGATTAAATGAAGTCATGCGTGTATTGCTAGCCTCCTCCCGGAAATGCCTGATAACTGGGAGCTACTCATATCAGAAGGTCATGCAGAGTGGGGAGTGAAAGGCCACAATGACCGCAGCAAAACCCATGACTGCGAACAGACTTCCAGTCCCAAAGAATCCTACAGCCAGAAAAGTCCTCATGTGCAACACAATCTTTTTTCAATAAAGAAACTGAGTCCCAAAGAGGTCTGGTGCCTGCTGCCCATTCCCTACCAACCCATCCCTCACACTTAAGGCCACTCGCAGGGCATCCCCCACACACATACACAGGTAAGTTTCTTGTTCCCGCAGCGCGTAGGAGCTAAGAGTGGGTTCACCACAAAAACTTACAAGATTGAATTTAAATTATGGCAAAATTATTAACATTCATAGAACTCCTTACAAAGCAACTTCGCTCTGATTTTTGAAGAGCACATCTTTGTAACTTCCCATCTTGTAGGTCTGGCCAGTAGCAGCTTGTAAATCACGAGGGAATGTAAACTTCACCTCGAAGTTTATGTACAAAGAAGGAAGAGAATCGCCCACGCCCTCGCCTCCCACCACTAGAGAGCTCAAATTCGACAAAGCGGAAGCTCCAGAGACTCTGCTCGCATAAGAGCCGGAGGACGGGCTTCGAACCCCCAAACATCCAAGCAACATTCCCCACTATGACTCACCCTGCGAGCCCACCTAGAGCATCACACTCGCCCCAGTCTCAGCCGAAGCCAGCGGAGTGGCGCTAAAGATGTAATACAAACTCCTCCCCCAGCCAATAAAAAACACCTTCCGCCGCCCTGGGCCAATGAGGAGCAGCGGATATGGCCGTGGAAGTGTAGCCTCAGTGACTGCTGGGAGTTGTAGTTTAGATAGTAAAGCGGGACACAGAATCCAGGTTCCCCCGGGTGATCCCGCCCCCTCAGTTCCCACAGCCAATCAGTAGCACTAGTCTGGTTGCGGGCTCAGTCCTCTTTTCCCCACAGGTGACCGCGGAGAAATAGGCCGTGGGCCGGATGTGGGGCGGTAGGGCGGGAGCCTTGCTCCGGGTGTGGGGGTTGTGGCCATCATGGGTCCCCGGGAGGAGACCACTAAGCTGCAATGCTGCGTCGCAGGCCCGAAGCAACTCCCCCCGGTGTTGGAAGTGCGGCGGCAGCCCAGGGGGCCCTATGGGGGAGGACGTACTCTTCTGTCCGCAGTGCCGCGCGTTGCAGCCACCCGACCCCACTCGAGATTACTTCAGCCTCATGGATTGGTACGGGCGGCAGTTCCGGGAAACGGGTCGAGACACCGAGACGTCAGGGAAATGTCGGCGAAGAGTGGTGGACCGACCAGGCTTGGAGAAGGCGGGCCCTGAAAGATGGTTGGGGGCGGAGCCTGGGAGAATGGAGGTTGGGAAGTGTCCTGAGGGAGAGAAAATTAAGGGGCGGGGTCTGGGGTCAGCGTTGAGCTTGAGGTGCGAAGCCTGAGGGGAGAAAGTGACGGGCTGGACCTAGGACAAGGGAGACCTGGAGAGCAGAGTCAGAAAGGTTAGAGTTGGGTTGAAACTCTTAAGAAAGGAATACTGAGGTGTTGTCCAAGTTAAGGGAGTAAAAACCAAAACAACACCCTTGCCGTGAAGTGGATTCCGATTCATAGTGACCTTATAGGGCGGAGTAGAAGTGACCCATAAGGCAATTGTGTAAATCTTTCTCCCATAGAGCGCCTGGTGGGCTTGCACCACAGACCTTTGGGTTAGCAGCCAAGCTCTTAACCACTCTACGTAAGAGGGATCCTTAAGGGAGTAAAAGCACAAAAAAACTAATATTGTGGGTAGGATCTAAAGGAAAAGTGGGAATTGGAGGTGGAGAGTCCCAGAAATGGGTGTTTTTCCCATTTTCCTCTGAAATTGAGCTTGGAGAGGTGGTGAAATGTGGGTGGAGATGGACTGGTGAGGTGATAAGGCAGACTCTGCGAACTGAAAGTTAAAGGGGTTGGATTAAAGCAAAGTGGGAGACCTGGCACCGAGAAAATTTGGGTGGAGTTAAGCATTGCCCCTTCCCTCAACTCTAGGATCTGCCCCTACAGGTCGCCGAGCACTTATTATGGGTTGCAGTGACACTAATTTCTTCAGGGTGCCAATCTTGTTCCCCACCCAGGGCCTTTGCGCTTGTGCTTCCTCTTGTCTGGATGACTCTTTCCTCTGAACTTTGAATACTACTCCACAAATTCAGGCCTCCCCTCAAACATCATCTCTTCATCCACCCCATTCACCACTCTCTTTGAGCCGGTCCTGTTTTCACTCATAGCACCAATCACTCTTTGAAACCATCCCCCATGAAAGCAGGAACCGGGCTCATAGTAGACAAATCTTTAATTATTTTTACATAAGTTTCGTCTGCTGATTTTCTTCCAGCAACCGTTCCTTCAGAGTTGACACCACGAAGCTCCAGCATAGGTACCAACAACTACAGCGTCTTGTCCATCCAGATTTCTTCAGCCGGAGGTCTCAGGTAGCATACTGGCCACCCCCAATCATCCCAAACAAATGTGCACACTGAGTGGGTGGCAATGGACTTGTGGTTATGTGATTATCAGGGACAAGCTGGACAACCAGCTCCACCCTGTGGCAGTCTGACCCCAGCCAGCCAGGCCTTGGAGCTGCCATGCACTCATAGCTTTTATCTGACTTCCCAGCAGACTAAAGCCAATCAGTTGAAAATTAAGACAGCTCATCCAACCCAGTTCTACTTTGTCTACTTCCTGAGGTCTCCACCCATCAGCCTTTTTTTTTTTTTTTCAAGTGTGGTAAAAAATATACATAATAAAACATTTATTTGCCACTTCAACAGTTTTTACCTGTAGAATTCAATAACATTGATTGCGTTCTTTTATGTTTTTTTTACCATTATCACTATCCTTTTCCAAATTATTCCACCACCATTTACATAAACTCAGTGCCCCCTAAGCACTAACTCCCCTTTCTCCCCTTCCCTCCCACCTCTGGTAACCACTAATAAGCTTTGTTTTCTGTATATTTGCCTCTTTTCATATATGTGAGATCGTAGAGTATTTGCCATTTTGTAACTGACTGTCTTCAGTCAGCATAATGTTTTCAAGGTTCATCCATGCTGTGACATGCATCAGGACTTCATTTCTTTTTATGGCTGAGTACCCATCAGCTTTTTAAAAACACTTTGTGAATGTAAGATGGTTAATTTGGATGGTAATAAGACTACCTTCATCTCCCACTAACAGACTGAAAAGGACTTCTCAGAGAAGCATTCGACCCTGGTGAATGATGCCTATAAGACCCTTCTGGCACCCCTAAGCAGGGGACTGTACCTTGTAAGGTGATTTCCCAACTCTTTTATGCGTGACTGCCTGGTGCTTGTTGTGTTGTGGGACACCTGCTCCCCTCTATTCAGAGAAGAGTGCTTGAGACCTGAGCTGGTCCAAAGACCCAATATTTAGCCTCAGAGATACTGCACAAGTATCATTGTCTCTGAGCATTCTCTGCAAATGTTACTTGCCCCAGTTGCTTTTTTTTTTTACACCATTTTCTATAAATTTCAAAGATTTGATGATAGCTTTTAAAGAAGGGTAATTTTTGGTTTGTTTTGGAAAAAGTCTTAGACTCCAGAAAATTTTAGAACTTAATAGAATCTTTACAAACATTTAGTTCAATCTCTGAGTGGAAGAGTAACTCCCCAGGGTCACACAGGTCCAAGTAGCACAGAAAAGGATCCTGTCCCAGCGCTCTGCCTCACTCCAGGCTTTCAGCACCTACTTTCATGCTTTCGTTATTAGGACAGCTCTGGTTTTCCCCATGAGCAATATTATGTTCTGAAGCGTGAGTAGGAATTGCAGGACTCTGGCCATATTTTCTTGAACCAAACTTATTTTATCTGCTTAATACCTCAATAGTTAAAGCTCCATGGAATAGAGATTTCCGAAGGGACAGATGATGAAATGGACAAGCAGTTCCTCATGGAAATAATGGAAATCAATGAAAAACTCACAGAAGCTCAAAGTGAAGCTGCCATGAATGAGATTGAATCCATTGTCGCAGGTAAAAGATAAAACAGTGCCAAATGCATTTTGTTACGAGTACATGCCTAGGGTTAAGTGAAAGATGAATATAAAGAGAAAGTTATTCGTCATCATGACGATTCAGGGAATTTTTTTCTTGACCATAAAGAAACCAATGTTGTCTGAAGGTTAGACTTGCAACATTCCTAACCCTCTGGGGTTAAAAAAAAAACAAAACCCTTTGCCATCAAGTCAATTCTGACTCATAGTGACACTATAGAAGGCAGCCTTCAATCAAGACTGTGATAGCATCAGCTGCTAACCAAAAGGTTGGTGGTTCGAACCCACCCAGCAGCTCCACAGGAGAAAGACCTGGCAATCTTCTCCCATAAAGATTACAGCCTAGACTAGCGATAATCCAAAAAACAGAAAATAATAAATGTTGGAAAGGTTGTGGAGAGACTGAACACTTTTACACTGTTGGTAGGAATGTAAAATGGTACAGCCGCTTTGGAAACTGATTTGGCACTTCCTTAAAAAGCCAGAAATAAAAGTACAGTGTGATCCAGCAATCACACCTTGGAATATATCTTAGAGAAATAGGAGCTGTCACACGAATAGATATATGCACACCCGTGTTCATTGCAGCACTGTTCACAATAGCAAGGAGATGGAAACAACCTAGGTGCTCATCAACGGGCGAATGGATAAACAAATTATGGTATAGCCACACAACGGAATGCTACGCAACGGTAAAGAACAGCAATGAATCTGAAACATACAACACGGATGAATCTGGAAGGCATTATGCTGAGTGAATTTAGTCAGTTGCAAAAGGACAAATACAAGACCACTGTTACAAGAACTAAAGAAAAGGTTTAAACACAGAAGAAAATATTCTTTGACGGTTACGAGAGTAGGGAGAGAGGTATTCACTAACTAGATGGTAGACAAGAATTATCTTAGGTGAAGGGAAGGACAACACACACTACAGGGAAAGTCAGCACAACTGGACTAAACCAAAAGCTAAGAAGTTTCCTGAATACAACCAAACACTTCGAGGGACAGAGTAGCAGGGCTGGGGATCGGGGGACCATGGTTTCAGAGGACATCTAGATCAATTGGCATAACAAAGTTTATTAAGAAAAGGTTGTGCATCCCACTTTGGTGCGTGGCATCTGGGGTCTTAAAAGCTAGCGAGTAGCCATCTAAGATGCATCAATTGGTCCCAACCCACCTGGAGCAAAAGAGAGTGAAGAACACCAAAGACACAAGAGACAGAAAGGGCCACATGAACTAGAGACTCCATCAGCCTGAGACCAGAAGAACCAAATAGTACCCTGCTATCACCAATGACCCAACACAACAGTCCCTGACAGAGCAGGAGAATAGTGGGGTGCAGAACTCAGATTCTAGTAAAAAGACCAGACTTAATGGTTTGACTGAGACTGGAAGGACCTGGAAGACATGGCCCCTGGACTGTCTGTTAACCCAGAACTAATACCATTCCCGAGACCAACTCTTCGGACAAAGATTAGAGCAGACTGTGGGACATAAAATGGTACTCATGAAGAGTGTGCTTCTTAGCTCAAGCAGATACATGAGTCTAAATGGGCAGCTCCTGTCTGGAGGCGAGATGAGAAGGCAGAGAGGGTCAGGAGCTGGTTGAATGGACACATCTGGGGTGGAAAGGAGGAGTGTGCTGTCATAGTATAGGGAGAGCAACTAGGGCCACATAACAATGTGTGTATAAATCTTTGTATGAGAAACACTTAAATTGTAAACTTTCACTTAAAGTATAATTTAAAAAAAAAAAAGATTACAGCCTAGAAAACTCTATGGGGCAGTTCTACTCTCTCATATGGGGTCACTAAGAGTAGAAATTGACTCTTCGGCACCGGACAACAATAGTATTTTGCAGATTGGAATGTTCCTTCCCACCCATGATATCATTTAGATAGCGTTATTATCTCTGACAGGGAAATGGGTCTCAGAATTTCATGGAAATTCCCGAGGTCACACAGCAGGTATATAGCAAAGCAAAGATTGAGGCCCTGATCTTCGGACTCTATATCGCTTCATTTTCCAGTTTATTCTGTAGAGAAGGCTCCAGGGTTCTCACTCAGAATGTATGTACTTATATACTTTCCGAAATGTTGACATGGTACCTACTATGTATCAAGCACTGTGCTTGACACTGAGGATACAGCAGTGAACAAGAAAGACATGGCCTGTGCCTTCATGGAGTTTATATGTTTCAACTTTAACATGTCCAAAGTGGAATTCATGAGTGTCCTCCCTCTCCTCAACCGAAAAAAAACAATCTCTTCCAGTGTTCATTCTCTAAGCACATCCAGTTGTATAAGTCTAAACACTGGGGAGGCATCCTTAACAACCTTACTCTCCCTTACCATCCATCTCCAAGTTTTACAAAGGAGACTTTTTAAATGTGTCTCAAATCTACCTTCCCATCTATTTTCACTGCTGCTACCCTGTTTCAAGCTACCATTCTCTTTCACCTGGACACCTGTAATAGCTCCTGACTGGTCTGTCTGTATATTCTAGCTGCATGTATTATATCCTACACTGTCACTTGTGCGATCTTTTTGAAACCCAAATCTAATCATATCACCCCTTACCTTGCTTAAAAACTTGAAGTGGTTTCCTACTGCTCTCAGGTTAAAGACCAAACTCCTTAGCATGGTAACAAGACCCTACATGGTCTCGCCTCTGCTTTTGTTACCGCAATAACACAGATTGGAGCCGCCTGCCGCAATAGCCAATTCTGAGACGGGTGAGGTGAGCAGCAAGAGGTTTATTATATATTGATATATAGGAGACAAAGGGGAATAGATTCCCCCAAAAACCTGTCTTCTCCACTGGAGATTGGCTGAAGGCTTTTATAGGGACAGGATTATGGATCTTAGAAGTTTGTGTTAGTTTCTCCTTGAGGTGGTGATGTCTCAGATGAGTTAATCTTCTACTGGTATTCTTGGGGGTTATCTGGTGACATCCTTTGGGATTATCTGGTGACATCCTGGTTTTTCTTATCACAAGATGGGTGCTTTGTTTGGTTTTCATCCTTAGATCCTTATCACTTGTTTTCTACCCTCCAAGGAGGAACATCGGTTAATCTTAAACCTTTTGTAGAGACTGGAGAAACAAGATCATAAGACAATGTGGCAGTTAGCAATGGGGAGTAAATAATAGTGAGCCAGGCCTGTGCAGCCTCTTCCACTTTCTTCCCCTTTGCCCCCGCTACTCCAGGCACACCAGCCACTTCCAATCTCTCATCTATACCAGGCATCTTCCTACCCCAGGGTCTTTGCACATGCTTTTGTTTATGCCTGAAATCTTCTCATTCAACCCATCGAGTTAACTCCTCCTCTTTCAGATCTGGGGGATATTTCCTCAGAGAAGCCATTCTTGACCTCTCCGTTGATTCCTTTTGGCAGTGGGTACCCCGCCATTGTAGGAATAATCATAGTTATAACTTTACTGTTCAATGTGAGATTATTAGCTTCACCCATTACACTGGAAGTTCTGCAGAGGCAGGAATTGTGTCTATTTTTTGCTTCCCTCACATCCTCAGCACATAGCAAACTTTAGAGCATAATAGGGGCTTAGTAAATGTTTGTTAAATGAGTGAATAAATGATAAATAAATTAAAAACAGTAAAATAGAAGTTGTGGTGGAGGGACTGTAAGCTGGGGACATATGGACATTAAGGCCAGGTAGTGCAGGGAGAAGAGAAATTCAGGACTACAGTCAGAGCCTGGCTGGCTGCTGCTTGCTAGGCAGAGGAACATGAAGTTCTGGGGTGAGGTGGATATGAGTTCAGTCCCAATGCTGCCACTACCTCTCTATGTGGCCTTGAGTAAGTGACTTCACCCCTTTGAACCTCAGTCTCCTCATCTATAAAAGGAGGACGATATTAGTCCTGGTTGTTGCAAGAATTTAAGTTAAATGAGATAAAACATGTAACACACTTAACAGTGCCTGGCATGAAGTGAGTGCTCAGTCACTGGTGGTGGATGTTCTAGCTCTGTATTAAATGTCTGACTTTGAGCAGGTCACTGACCTTCACTTGGATTGATTTCTAAACTCCCCAAAAAATACCTGCTAAGACCCAAGGGTATAAAGCTAGCATTGGAGCAAGAACTTTGGAGGTTCTAAGCAACTAATAGTCCAGTGCTCTTTTATCCATACCACATTGCCAGCTGAGTGGCAAGTTTTCAAACACTGGACTAGGAGTCAGGTAACTTGGGGTTTGTTCATAACAACTCTAATCACCAACCATGACAGCATCGGAAGATCCTCCAATACCTTTTATATAAACATTGGGATATAAAAAATAATAACAATATGGCTGTCAAGTTGATTCCAACTCATAGCGATCCTGCAGGACAGAGTAGAACTGCCCCATAGGGTTTCCAAGACTGTACTCTTTATGGAAGCAGACTGCCACATCTTTCCACTGCGGAGCAGCTGGTGCGTTCGAACTGCCGACCTTTCAGTTAGCATCCAAGCGCTTAATAAACACTATGCCACTAGGGCTCCTTCCTTGGGATATAATGTACTTGAAAGTGCTTCGAAAGCAGGCAGTGTAGAAATGATTGATACTCTTCATGTCTTATTGTGAAAGTCTTCATTTCTTAATGAGGAAACAAATATGAAGTAGCTACTTTACTTCATTGAACATGTCTTTTAAGGCACATATGATGTAATGTACATGTCTCATCTTTCTGGGAGACTGTATAATTTGTAAATGGTTGCCTAAAACACTCTGTATTGCTCTGGTGATCGACAATCCAGGTATGTTCATTTTCTTCTCACTGAAATCTGAAGGAGTTAGACTGCTTGATGGAGAGAATCACGGCATTTGTCTTTTTTTTTTTTTTCCAGTGATTCTATAGCCATTTTATGAGCCTTAGTGATTGCCCCTGAGACCTTTCATAAGGTAGAAAAAAATGGTGTAACTAGGGTCAGGCAGTGCTGCACTAAAAAGGAGCTGCTCTCATGGGACATGTAGAGACAAGGATTATGAAGACTTACCTGTGGATCCAAGCTTCCCGCTTTGCCCTGTTCAACCCAGCATGATTAAAAAGTGTTGTTTTCGTCAAAAGTCTATTTACATAGAAAAATTAATGGTTTTCTCTTTCAGTCAAACAGAAAGAATGTATTGACAGTGCGAGAAGAGCTTTTGAACAAGGTATTTTCTTTGCTTCTTGACTTTCTTAGGTATGGAAAGAAATTGTAAGCAGTGAGGTATAACCATTCATTCAACAAGTAGCATTATATACCCACCTTATGATAGACACATAACCCATTGCCATCGAATCAGTTCCGACTCACAGCAACCCTGTAGATACGTAAACCAAAAAAAACCGAAACTCATTGCTGTCGAGTCCATTCTGACTCATAGCGACCCTATAGGACAGAGTAGAACTGCCCCATAGAGTTTCCAAGGAATGGCTGGTGGATTCTAACTGCCAATCTTTTGGTTAGCAGCTGAGCTCTTAACCACTGTGCCACCAGGGCTCCAAGAGATACATGGGGAAATATAAAATATATATGAATCTACATTTCTGCCTTCAAGGATTGTCTTGCTAGAAAAACAAGCTATGTACCAAAAACAGAGAAATGCCAGTTAAACAGTATGAAGGCTAAAGTACAGTACTCCATTACCCTTTGGCAAGTAGAAGATAAGATGAGGTCTGTGGACTGAAGCCAACAGGTGCAAGGGCCCTGAGGGCAAGACTGAAGAGTCAACATTTAGCAAAGCCAGCACACCATTTTCTTCTGCAAAACCCTGCAGGGCAGACGCCTAAGGCAGAACTGTGCCTTAATGGTTGTTGTTCTTAGTTGCATTGAGTTGGCGCTTACTCTTGGCAACCCCATGGAACATTGCCCAGTCCTGCGCCACCTTCACAATTGTTGGTACACTCAAGAATAGTCCATTGTTGCAGCCACTGTGTATTTAGAGTGCCTTTCAACCTAGGGCAGTCATCTTCCAGCACTGTTGTTGTTAAGTACCATCAAGACAGTTCCGATTATAGTGACCCAGGATTATATTGGACAATATTATATTGTGATCCATAGGGTTTTCTTTGGCTAATTTTTGGAAGTAGATAACCAGGCCTTTCTTCCTAGTCTGTCTTAGTCTGGAAGCTCCACTGAAACCTGCGGGGTGACTGCTGGTATTTGAAATACCGGTGGCATAGCTTCCAGCATCATAAGCAACACACAAGCCACCACAGTACAGCAAACTGGTAGACAGGTGGTGGGTGCCTGAAAACAAGTATGAAATTTTCATCCTGGTCCCCATTGTCCCTGCCTCTCAGGCTGAAGAGACTGGATCTAGCTATTTTTAAGCAAGAACAACCTTCCTCTCCATCCCCGATCTGTGCCATACCTTTAAAAAAGGGAATAATGGCACTTTGGCTTAGGAATCATTTAAATGCAGGAAGCAAAAAGCCATGTAAGTTGGTACAGATAAAGAAAGCTTGTTATAGGACACAGGGCTATCTCCCAGAATCCAAAGGGAAAATACCTGCAATAATTATAGTACAATGAGATAAACACTTTTCTGGGGCAGGACTTTTTCTGGGAGCCAGAAAGCAGTCTGGAACCAAGACAGCTGTGGTCCTCGGTTCAGCTCTCTGGAAGTCCACTCTATCCTCCTCTCTATTAACCAGTACCATCCACTTGCTCCAAAATGGCCTCCCCCGTAGTACGCCTCCTGAGTCCTCTAAAGTCTCTTACCTTTTTAAGAATAAGGCCTTTCACCATCTGACTAGAGCCTACTAGACCTAATTCTAAATTCCTGGGAGAGAGAATTTGATTGGCCCAGCTTGAGCCAGATGTCCATTCTAGTCCAGTCAGCTCCGGCCAAAGGGGTAGGTTTACATAGTGTGCTGCCCGCTTTGCAGGGACTATAGGTATGGATTCTGAGAAGTGGGCAGAGGTAGATTTTCTAAAAAGAAGAGGGTAAATACAGATTAACAGCAGAAAAGATAGGAACCTGGTCTGCCCTATCTGCCTGAAATGCTATGTTCTCAATCTACTGGCTAACATGATCAGGATATGCTCCAGCAGCGCCTCCCCAAAAAAACCTGTTACACCTTTGTATGTGTATACTTTTATTTGTTTAGTTACAAGGAGCCCTGGTGGCACTGTGGTTAAGAACTAGGCTGCTAACTGAAAGGTCAGTGGTTCAAACCCACCAGCTGCTCTGTGGCAGAAGATGTGGCAGTCTGCTCCCATAAAGATTACAGCCTCTTAAACCCTATGGGGCAGTTCTGTGTCCTACAGGGCTTCTATGAGTCAGAATCGACTCAACAGCAGTGAGATTTGTTTAATTATGAAATACAATACAAAAAAAGAATAGATGATGTACAAGTACAACTGAAAGAATAATAGAACAAACATCCATGTCCCCACCACCAGGCTGAAGAAATAGAACATGACCACTGCCTTCCAAGCCCCCCATGGACCCTTTGCCATTGTATCCCCTTCCATGGGAACCATTCCCCTGACTTTTGTGTTAAATCATTCCCTTGCTTTCCTTGACAGTTTTAATATGTGAATGTAACAGTTTATTATTTCATTTTGCGTAATTTTTTAACTTTATATGAATGGGATCATACCTTATGTATTCTCTGTGACTTGCTTTTTTGCTTAATATATCTTTGGAGTCATCAGGTTGATGTAGGTAGCTGTAACATATCTTCATTGTAGCACTTATCACATTGTGTTGTATTTAGCTAAGGCAGAGTTTCTCAGCCTCAGCACTGCTGGCCCTTTTGGATCAGGTAATTCCTTGTTGTAGGGGGCTGTTCTGTGCAGTGTAGTATGTTTAGCAGCACCTCTGGCCTCTGTGATACCAGTATCACACCCCACCCCACCCCCTTGTGACAACCAAAAATGTCTCCAGACATTGCCAGATGTCCCCTGGAGGACAAATAACATGTACACGCACACGCACACGCACGCACACACACACACACACACACACACACACACACACACACCATTGAAAACCATGAGTGTAAAGAAAGGCATCTTTCCCAGAGACTGTAAGCCCCGCATGTGCAGCCTCTACCTAAGCACCTGGCACAGAGGAAGCACCCTGTGCTTCCATATCCTCTTCAGGGTTATGACTGCCATGTATGAGATGGGAAACTTTTAAAACATAACCCATTTGTTACTTGGGGACTGTCCTGAAGAGAGTCAGACTTCTCTTATTGAAGTCTGAATCCTGTAAACAAGTCTGTTCTTGCCCCTTTGGTTAATCCCTTTGTCCCCTCAACAACCCAGATGGCATCCCTCTCCATTGCTCAGATTTACTGAGTGATCGATTGGCCTTCCAGAGCCTAAGGCTCAGCTTTGATCTAGCTGCCTTGGTCATTAGAGTTGGTTCAATTCTTGATTGAAATGAAGCCTGACACATCAATGTCTCTATTTATTTCAGATGACTTTGAAAAAGCCAAGGAAATTTTAACAAAAATGAGATACTTGTTAAATGTAGAAGAAAAGATCAAGTTAAAGAAGATTCCACTCTAATTGTTGCTAATTTAAAAGTTTTAAAAATAAAGTTCCTGTATATTTCTTTTCTGGCTTCTGGTAATTGAGAAGGAGCCCTGGTAGTGCAGTGGTTGAAGTGCTCAGCTGCTAACCAGAAGGTCGGCAGTTCAAACCCACCAGCGGCTCTGCAGGAGAAAGATGTGACAGTCTGCTTCTGTAAAGATTTACAGCCTTAGAAACCCTAGGGGCAGTTCTCTGTCCTATAAGGTCACTATGAATCAAAGTTGACTCAATGGCAGTGGGTTTTGGTGGGTTTGGTAATTGAGAATAGATATGCTTTAACTGCTTATACCATCTTTATTAAACCTGTGACTCGTGCACTAATGGATGGCAAAGTCTGTCATGCTTTAGTGGTCTGATACTTTATACAACACCCTCCCCACCCCCACACACACACACATACAGGCTGATGGATGAACAGGTAGGGACGGAGCCAACTTTAAGCGTGAGAGCAGGGGTCAGCAAACTTTTTCTATAAAGACCCAGAAAATATTTTCGGCTTTGTGGGCCATAAGGTCTCTTTCACAACCACTCAACTCTGCTGTTGGAGCACAAAAGCAGCATAGACAATCTATAAACAAATGGACATGCTGTGTTCCAATAAAACTTTGTTTACAAGAATAGGCAGTAGATTGGGTTTGACCATCAGCTTGCCAACCTCTGCCCTAGAGCCATATCTTTTTTCTAATGGAATGACTGCATTAAGATAGTCACCATGTTAGTTAGTGTGACAGTGGGACTTCCTGTTTGGTAAACATGCAAAGCCCCCAAGGGCTCTTTGGTTTTCATTTCAAAATGCATATAATATCATCAAGAATTAGTCTGGTGGAGGAACTTCCGGAAGCCATGACCCCCTGATGCTCTGTTAACCCAGAACTAAAACCATTCCCAAAGCCTGCTCTTCAGACAAAGATTAGACTGAACTATAAAACATAAAATAATACTCGTCTTAGTTTCAAGCAGATACACGAGACCGAAAGAGCAGGATGAGAAGGCAGGAAGGGACATGAGCTGGTTGGATGGACACAGGGAAACCCAGGGGGTGGAAAGGAGGAGTATGCTATCAGATTATAGGGATTGCAACTAGTGTCACATAACAATATGTGTATAAATTTTTGTATGAGAAATTTAAGCAGTAAACTTTCACCTAAAGCACAATTTAAAAAGTCTAGTATTAAACACTAACCACATTTTCCCCTTTGGTGAGGTGAAGCAGTTTTAATTTCTCTCTGGACACTTGATGCTGTCTTGTCACGATTTCCATCCTCCTATAATTCAGCGCATAGGAGCTCCACTTACCTTTCTGGATCTTTTGAAATTTGGTTTAAGTTCTTGATTGATTTCCAGAAAGAAGAAGAAGAAAAAAGTATTTTAAGACTCTGGATCAGGGAAGATTACAATAGCAAGTAGAAAAACTTGCTTAAAAAAATTCCAATTCAAATTCTTCTGGAAGGAATCGCTTATTTATAATTTTAAAAAGTCAGGAGTCTGAACCAAGGCTTAAATACTACTACTACAGCTTAAATGTGCAGCTCCTTTGCATTCTGTCTGATCCTTGTCTGAGAGTTTATACCTCGCAAATCTTGATCTAGTAATAGTTAACCATTTTAGGATTTACCAGTCTTCAGAAGGCAAATTAACCATAGAAGCTGTCTGCTCTAATGTTACTTGGGAATATCAGTACAATCTCCACCCGCCTCAGAATTTACAAGGAGAATGAGTTACATGTCTGGAAACACACTGGGAGTCCTTTAAGAAAATAATTACCATGTAAATAAATGTTCTGGTTAAATTGCCTACTTCTCCAAAGAAGAGGGAGATGAAAGGAGTGTTTAAAATACTTTTGTAGATAATATTCATTCATTCTTCAGGACCAAAACAATCTGACCACAAAAAGAAATCAGAAACATTGCCTGATACAACATCTTTGGAAGTATTTCAAAAAAAATTTCCCCTCACCCACTTGCAGGCTGGGCCTCAGCAAACCATTTCTGACTTGGGGAATAAATTAAAAAAGACATTGTTTCTGAGTCATGGCTTCTGAGATCAATATGATTACTTTTTTCTCTTCTAAATTCTTTCCTTTTTAGTCTAAACTCTAAATTTATCTGGACTTCTAAATCCAGGAACCTTTTCAAGTGTTCCCTAACTTAAAATCCTGCAGGAGGTGTGCTTCTGGCTGGCTGAAAAGTTAGCAGCCCTATTGGATTAAAGTTTCTGGCCAACATGGAAGCAAATTAAGCATCTGTCTCAGCCCCTAAGGATCCTTGGTGGTGCAATGGTTAAGCACTCAACTGCTAACCTAAAGGTTAGTGGTTCAAACCTACCCAGTGGCTCCATGGGAGAAAGACCTGGTGATCTGTTTCCATAAAGATTACCGTCTAGAAAACTCTGTGGGTCAGTTCTTCTGGTCACATGGGGTTGCTATGAGTCAGAACAGACAGGGTGGCATCCAATCTATAGTAGCCTGTGAATATTCCACTGCAATCCAACCTGAGCATCAATGCAGTGACTGGGAATGACGCTCTTACCTTAAAATTTGATCACACCTCTCAATAAACTGAGAGTGTGATCAAAAAGGGGAGAAATTGATAGCCTGATTAAACTAGACCCAAAATGGAGTCCCTCCTGCTGAGCCCCAAACCAAAAAAAACAAAACCCATTGTATTTGAGTCGATTATGACTCATAGTGACCCTATAGGACAGAGTAGAACTGCCCTATAGAGTTTCCACGGAGCAGCTGGTGGATTTGAACTGCCAACCTTTTGGTTAGCAGCCCAGGTCTTAACCACTGTGCCACCAGGGCCTCTGTGCTGAGCCTGAGGCCAGCAAATCAAAACCTAAGTTTCCATTTCAGGTAAATGCCTAGCTTTCCCAGGAGCCGAAATCTAAATTAATCTATTGACTCTCCTAGAAATGGAAACTCAAGCTAGCCAATCAGTACTTGGCTGGTCGATTTAAGCTAATTCAAATTTTTACCTTATCCCAAATACGGAAAGAAAATGCCCACCAGCCAATCCGAATTTTACCCAGTATAAACTTCCTTGTTAGAAAACCCTTTCGCTTTGTACCTAGCTTTGGAACACTTCTCTGACTTTCAGACTACACATTCCCTGGTTTATGAGCTATAAAATAAAGCTGATGAATTCATACACAAATTTAATATTGTGAAAATTTTTTGGTGACAACCCCCAGCCTCTACCCCACCTTCTACCCCCACCCCCCCACATTATTCCTTATACAGTATCTGAACAAATCAGAGGTTTTGACTAATTTGTGGCTATTTCTTCCCAGGCTGTGGTCTCTGTCCTGGATTTGAATCCTAGTTCCCCTACTTATTTGCTGTGAGCCTGTGATTGTGCTAAGCCTCATTTCCTCATCTTTAAAATAATCATAATAACAGTACCTATCTATACAAATTGCTTAGCACAGTGCACGGCACACACAGAATAAGCACTCAAATGTGATTTTTTTAAATTATAATTACTATTACTTATTTTACTTTGGTAACAAAGTCATGCCCTTCATTGAAGAATAAATATCCTTTTACCAGAAGAATGAGATGGTGCCTGGCTATCACCAACAACTGCCCTGACAGGGAACACAACAGAGAGTCCCTGACGGAGCAGGAGAAATGTGGGGTAAAAAGACCAGACTTAATGGTCTGACTGAGACTGGAGGGACCCCAGAAGACATGGCCCCCGGACTCTCTGTTAGCCCAAAACTAAAACTATTCATGAAGCCAACTCTTCAGACAAAGATTAGACTGGAGTATAAAACATAATCGTGAAGAGTGTGCTTAGCTCAAGTAGATACATGAGTCTAAATGGGCAGCCGCTGTCCAGAGGTGAGATGAGAAGGCAGAAAGGGACAGGAGCTGCCTGAATGGACGTGGGAAATCGGGTGGAAAGGAAGAGTGTGCTGTCACAGTATGGGAAGTGCAACTAGGGTCACATAGCAGTGTGTGTATAAACTTTTGTATGAGAAACTAACTCAAACTGTAAACTTTCATTTAAAGCATGATAAAAAAAAGAATAAATGTCCTTTCAACAGAGTTCCAAGCACCTACTTTATGCAAGAGAATGTTCAACCGTGGGAGTGAGACACAGAACTGTTAGACACTTACTGTCTGTTTGGGGAGATGACTTTTATACCAATAACCAAAATAATAATAAAAAGCTCCTATCTGTTGCACAATTACTGTGTGTCAGGCACTATGCATGGTGCTCTACATGTATTCCATCAAATTAAACCCAGTTGGACTCATTTTAGAGATAAAGAAAATGGATGCAAGAATTCCAAGAGCTGGGCTTCAAACCCAGGTCTGTGTGCAAAGCCCGTGCACTCAGAGAGGTTGAACCCACCAGCTGAGGGGATTACACAATTCATAGCAAGAGCTGCCATCTACCAGGGCCTGCATCATGTCAAGCAGAGGCAGAATTTGAACCTAGTCCCAATTTCCAAAGCCTGAGCATATGGCTTCGCTAGGTTTAGGGAGGGATCACTTCCAGGTGTGGTAACCAGGGAAGATGGCTTCAGGAGGAAGAGAAGTAGAATCCAGATAGTAGAGAGAAGCTGTGGGAAGGATTCTCAAGTTTACCTACAGGTTTGATGATTCACTAGGAGAACTCACAGGACTCAGCATATAATCCTACTCACAGCTATGATTTATTACAGCAAAAGGATATAAAGCAAAATCAGCAAGGGGGAAAAGGCACACAGGGTGAAGTCTGGTGGAAACCAAGTGCAAGCTGCTAAGAGTCCTCTGCCAGTAGAGTCACACAGCAACAAGGTATGACAATACCTGTGAACTGTTCTCTACCAGGGAAGCTCATTAGAGACTCAGTGCCCAAGGATTTTACTGGGGGCTGGTCAGGTAGACAACCTCTGTTTAGCATGAGCTCATCAGGTGGACTAAGGAAGAAGGTAAGTTACAAATTATATTTGCTATACTGCAGATTACATGGAATCAGACAGAACTGGATTTAATATCTGGTACCTCCGTTTTTTGCAT